TGCAACAAAAAATAGCCAGGCATTGTGGAGGGCGCCTATAGTCCCAGCTACTCGGGAGGCTGAGGCAAGAGAATCACCCAAGAGCTGGAGGTTGCTGTGACCTGTGATGCCACCACACTCTACCAAGGGTGACAAAGTGAGAGTCTGTCTCTAAAAAAAAAAAAAATCATATGTTGAAGCCCCAACCCCCAGCACCTTGAAGATAGGGTCTTTATGGAGGTAACTTAGTATTAAAATGAGTTCATGAGGGTGGGCTCTAATCCAGTATGACCAACATCATAAGCTGAAGAAACGCAGGCACAGATAGTTACAGAAAAGAAACCAAGAGGGAAGGAAGGTGCCCATGTACAAGGCAAAGAAAGAGGCCTCAGCAGGAACCAACCCCACAAACACCTGATCTTGGACTTCCGGCTTGCAGAATTGTGAGAAAAGAAGTCAAGTCTGTGGTTTCAGCCGCTCGGCCTGTGGTACTTCGGTATGGCAGCCCTGGCAGACTAACACAGCTCCTAAGTCAAGAGGGCTGGCTGCACTCCCCAGATCTCAGAGTTCAGTGACAGTCAGTTCACAGCGGCACGGCTCACCCACGCCGTTTTAAGACTGTCAATGACATCTCCTCAAATAAATGTGTGTTCCCATCTCACTAGGCAAGAAAAAAATCCTGCATTAATATGGAGAAATAAGTAGGAGGGAAACAGGAATGCAAAGAGTTTAAGTACAGACATTTCATTCTCCTCACCTGATACCCCCAAAGATAAGATGCTCCCCAGGGAAATGCCCCTCGGAGTCATCGCCTCGGTTCCAGTACCCCTCCCTTCCTGCCCATCTGACCCACAGCAAGAGCTTCGCAGGGGCCCAGGGAGAGCAGGTGGGGAGGCAAGGGCTGAGAAGGAGAGTAAGATGATGTTTACAGGCAGGAGCCGAGGCAGAGTGGCATACAGAGGGCTGGGCGGGGATGAAGAGCAGCAAGGCCTAGGAAAGGTTTTCCTTGGCTCCATCACCCCACCCCGCTTCCTTAAAAGTCAAACCCTTTAAGTGATAATGAAAAGGAAAAAAAAAAAGTTCAAGGATTAGGACAGCAAAAACTTAAGAGACTTTCCTTGCCCTTCTTTCTCCAGGTCACTCTATTCCCCACCACTCCCTTTTCCAAAGTATCCTATATCCCAGGAATTCTCCCTGCCTCTTGACCACCTATTTAAGAATGGGGAAGTACATACAAACAAGACTGACCACAGATGATCACATTCTCAGTGCATCATAAATTCCTCAACCACTAACTGATACTTGTACACTGTTTGCATGAGACGACTTTTAGGTTGTCTGCCAGGTCTAAATCCTCTTACTCAAACTGCTCCCACCTAAGAGAATGAGCCTCTGGAGCACGTTTGATCTACGTGGCCAGGGGAGGCTCCAGGCCCAGCAAGTCTCTTTTCTGAGCGTCTAAGGGAGACTCACTACTCAATCTTCTTTCACTGCCGGTCACTCTCCAGTGATAACAGGGAATAACAGATGTCCGTAATTTTGAGAGCTGAGGGTGCTATATTAAGGGCAAAAATTTTGTCCTATAGATACACAAACAGAGGCAGCCAAAAGAAAAGAAAGAAAAAAAGAAAAAGAAGAAGAATGAAGGAGCTGTACAGGGAGAAGTGGTCGTCAGACACCACCTCCCACGAAAGTCATCTCAGATCCTATACAACATCCACTTCTTGGTTTTGGTCTCTTTGGCCTCATAAAAATTTGGTTTCTGCATGACATGAACCAATAGGTTTGTATTTGCAACCAAAAGATAAATCACATTGTAAGAAACCACACCAAATATTCATTGTATTGTGCTCTGGTTATCTATCACGCATCCCCACTTTTTTATCATCCAGGGAATAAAAAGTTTTATTTTGCAGAAAAAAAAAAAGGATAAAACAGTAATCTACAATTTACTAAGCACCTTCAGGTATGTCATCTCATTTGGGACTCAAAATACCCTACAGAAATAAAGACATCAGTTACTTTCACTCTTGTCTTAATATAGCTTAAGAAGCACAGGCCGGCTCAGCGCCTGTAGCTCAAGTGGCTAAGGCGCCAGCCACATACACCTAAGGTGGCGGGTTCGAATCCAGCCTGGGCCCGCCAAACAACAATGACGGCTGCAACCAAAAAATAGCTGGGCGTTGTGGCGGGCGCCTGTGATCCCAGCTACTTGGGAGGCGGAGGCAGGAGACTTGCTTGAGCCCAGGGGTTGGAGGTTGCTGTGAGCTGTGATGCCACGGCACTCTACCCAGGGGGGACACCTTGAGGCTCTGTCTCAAAAAAAAAAAGAAGCACAGGCCAGGGCAGCGTCTGTGGCTCAGTGGGTAAGGCGCTGGCCTCATATACCGAGGGTGGCAGGTTCGAACCCAGCCCCAGTCAAACTGCAACAAAAAAACAGCCGGGCGTTATGGCGGGCACCTGTAGCCCCAGCTACTTGAGAAGCTGAGGCAAGAGAATTGCCTAAGCCCAAGAGCTGGAGATTGCTGTGAGCTGTGTCACGATGGCACTCTACCAAGGGCGACAAAGTGAGACTCTATCTCTAAAAAAAAAAAAGCAGCACAGGCCCTTGCATATTGGGACTTGTCTTCCTGGCACCCAGCTACCATCATGGAAAGACATGTAGGCTACTCAGAAAAGAGAACCCAACACAAGGAGAGGCCTTGTGAGGAGACACACAGAGAGTGAGGCCACATGAAAGGAAACTGAGGCAACCCCAGTGAACTCCCAGGTGAATGCAGCTACGAGAATGTCCCCACCAACAGAAGACAAGAGCAGAAGAGCTGCTTGCCCAGCTCACTGGAGGCAAGATACCATTAAGTTGCTGTTTTAAACCAAAACTTAATACTTTGGGGATATCTTGTCTATCACACAACAACACACAGATGAAAAGGATGTTAGCTGACTTCCCTTTTATCTCACAGCTAACAAACAGAGCTTGTATCCAGGCCTCCTGCCTAACTTCAGTGATTTAGTCCCTGTTCTAAGATATGACTGAAACTGAAAAAAATAACTCAAAAGTTTCACATGTCATTTCAATAATAGAAAATGAATTTTAGCTCAGAACACCCAGCTGTGAAATTATCCTGTCAGCAAGTAAATGAATTTAAAAATCTATGTATGTAAATGTGGACAGGTAGGAGAGTGTTATTAAAATACTTAGCATGATTACACAATGACTCAATGCCTTTCTCCTGTGTTGAATGCATTCTTAAAAAAATCTACCAAAGACAGAATATACAATGCTCACAGCAGTATTATTTCTAATAGCTAAAAAACACCAAAAAAAAAAAAAAAAAGGAAACAACTCAATTACCCAATGAGAGAAAAAAGGTCATATCATGATATATTCATACAACAGCAAAAATAAAGAACCATGGTTTCAGGTATCAACATGGACAAATTTCAAAAATATAAATAATAAAAAGTTAAAGAATATGAACAGCTGAATATCATTTATATAAAGGCTCCAAGGGTGGTGCCTATAGCTCAAGTGGCTAAGGCGCTAGCCATATACACCACAGCTGGCGGGTCCGAATCCAGCCCAGGCCTGCCAAACAATGACGACTACAACCAAAAAACAGCCAGACGTTGTGGTGGGCACCTATAGTCCCAGCTACTCGGGAGGCTGAGGCAAGAGAATTGCTTAAGAGCGCAGGAGTTGGAGGTTGCTGTGAGCCATGACGCCACAGCACTCTACCCAGGGCGATAGCTTGAGGCTCGGTCTCAAAAAAAAAAACAAACTCCCAAATACAAGTCTTAGCAGTATCTTGTTTAGGAGTAATGTGTATAATAATAAAAGCAGTAATGAAAATCAAGGGGATAATAAGCACAAAATTCAAAATAGCAGATTCCCTTAAGGGAAAAGAAACAGGAAACAGAAACCCTTGGAGGAAGGTACAGAAAGGGCTCCAAAGACATCGCTCAATTTCATCTCCTCATCTGGATGGCAGACCTACCTGTATATTCCCCACATCTGTGGTAAACAGTCTTTTATATTCATAAAATGTTTCATACTAAAAACACACTTTTAAAAAACACAGAATCCAGCAAAGGAAAATTAGATTGCCCTATAATATGTGTGTCCCAACACACAAAAGCCAAACTAGTTTCCAAATGCTCCATTATTTTATTTTAAAAGAATATAAAAGGATATACTACAGAGATAAACTCCTAATCACATGGAAATAACAGCAAAGCCTGCTATAGTTCACAACTCATTAAAATTACTACAAGGGAAAAATATTTATTTAAATACAATGCTTAAAATATTTCATTTAGCCCTTTCAGTTAGTTTTTGGAGCCTACTGTTACATTTTCCCACAACAAAATTCCCTCCGTCCTTCCAAGTGAGGGCCTACTCAACGACCTAGGTTGCCCATCAGTTTGCCTGCCCTGGACAGGGGTCCCCGATAGGATCACACTGCATACTAAGACCCATGCTCTTTCCTGGCCAGAGGTGACTGCATCAGAAATGAACAGCCGACCCAAAGCCAACCGACCATGGTCTGCCACCTCCTGCCCCTCAGCTTTACTCCTACTGTTCTCTCCCGTAAATCAACACGCTTGCTAGATTATGTATCTTTCCATCGTGGCACCTGCTACGATTACAAAATAGCTGCCCTTTTTTTTTCAGTGATTATTCACTGAAATTTGTCTTTCCTCCTAAACTACAAGCTTCATGAGGGCAGAAACAGGTCAGTTTTTGCTCACTACTGTGTTCTACCAACCAGCACAATTCCTGATACATGACAGGCATTCAAGAAGTCTTTTTTCTTTAGTAAAAGGGGGATTGCAATATTATGCCTCTTTTCCTCTAAAACTTTTTATTTCATTACATTTATATGGAAAATAACACCATTTGGGGCAAACCTAAAATTAAGACACAACAAAACCCGTAATGGAATCTGCATGTATCCTCCAAGAGGAAAACTTCACAGAAACTACCACTTGACAAATTTAAGGGGTTTATAGAAACATACCTGAATGAAGCTGAATTTTCCCAATAACGCCTTCTACCAACCCCAAACAAATGGGATTCCAGGCAAGAAGTAGATCGGTAGCTAAAATAAAAGAAGGAGTCATGAGAAACATTTGCCAGAAAACATTAAAATGATACATTTTCATTTTTTAACTTTATAATATATATTTTTTTACATTATCGAGTTTCAGGTACAAAGCAGTATCTTTAGCAGTATATTAAAAAATGATCCACATCCCCAAAAAGCATGAACATCCAGAACTACACATATAAAGCAATTTGTGACAAGGCATTAAATCTGAGGCCTGAATAAGCTTCTGATACAAGGGCAGGTACAGGGGCAGAACTGACACTCTGAACCGTTCCCAGATGGGAAGCAGCACCTTGGCGCCCTGCAGTGGAGGAAAGAGGCTGGTACACTACAAGAAGGAGGAATTGCCCACAGTCCTACATACAGCACAGATCACAGACCCAAAGACAAGGCCTGGGAAACTGCCAGAGAGCTGCCCACTCACTGGGTCATGCTCTGGAAAATATGCTTTCCAAAAGATGCTTACACCAAGCAAAGAAATCCAGAAAGCCCAGGGCAAAAACAATAGAAACGGTTTCCATTTTGAGTGCCTGCTATGTGCCCAGCATCTCAATCAGGATTCTTCAGCGAGCCCCAGACCAGACAGCGATTTGGGTGACCGTTTTCTCATTTATGCCATACAAGAAATAAGATGGCACATCGCCAGTACCATTCTAGACGCACAGGAGAGAAACAAGTTCATTACACACAACAGATGGGTAAGGACAAGAAGAAGGCTTAATTCTCTTGTGGAACTCGAGTTGCAAAAGGCTGTTTATATACATGGTGAATAACGTAACATCAGTGGTGGTTTAACAGCTGAGAAAGATTAGCAAGAATGAAAACAGTACTTCTCTTGGCAGAAAATTAAAGTTACAATTTAATTATTAGCATTTAAATTTTATTTTGGTGAAATTTATATTCAATCCATAACTCAAGGTGGCAATTATACACTTAACAGTTAAATTCATTTGAGTTTTGACTATTGTACTATATCTTAAATGTCTCTGTTGTTAAGACAGATTAAATGGGCAGCAAAAATGACTTATTTGTTTTGATTGCAAGAAGCAAAATAAGGAACTTTTATAAAGGCTGTTATATATACACTATTGTTTCTGATCTGACAACTCTGAGTTAGGTATCAGGAGCCCCATTTTACAGGTAGGAAATGGACTTAGAACTAAGTTAACAGCCAAGTCACACATGATCCGAGCTGGCTGCCTACCTGGCTCCTAGCCGTGCTCAGTCTAAGCCACTCTGTACACTGTCGACCCACACAAGTAACGCATGGAAGTAGTCAGTAAGGCAATCATCTGTAAGTGGCACACATTATTATAAAAGTAACACTATAAAACTGGGGAAAATATATCACCCAACTCACCACCCAGAGATAACTTATTACTTTGCTACATTTCGGGTCATAGGTGGTATGCATACCCAACTGCAATAACAAACACAGCATTAGAGAGTAATTTTCTTCTTCTAACATTTCATGAGTATTCTCTTCTTTAAAATATTCTTCAAAATCGTAACTTCATGGTGGTACAATTTTCCACTTAAGGATGTACTTCCTCAAAGAAAGCACTTAACCGATTTCTAGTTTATCTCCTTTTACAAAAACAATATGATAAATTGAACATTATAAATTGAATATGATAATTGAACTTTATTTGTCTCCCCTAATTAACAGCTTTGAGCAGAATCCTAAGGAATAAAATCAGTAGGTCAAAACATTAGAAAATTTAAAGCTCTCTGGCTCTGCACCTGTAGCTCAGAAGCTAGGGCACCAGCCACACACACTGGGGCTGGCAGGTTTGAACCCAGCCTGGGGCCTGCCAAACAATGACAACTATAACGAATATATAACCGCGTGTTGTGGTGGGCACCTGTAGTCCAGCCACGTGGGAGGCTGAGGCAAGAGCCCAGGAGTTTGAGGTTGCTATGATGCTACAGCACTCAACCAAGGGTGACACAGTGAGACACTATCTCAAAAAAAAAAAAAAAGAAAAGAAAAAAGAAAAGAAAATTTAAAGCTCTCAAATATTAACAAACTACTCTCTACAAAGGTTATACCAAGTTAGATTTCTTCCAGAGGAATATGAAAATGCTTGGTTTTGGGTAGCACCTGTGGCTCATTGAATAGGGCGCTGGCCCCATATACTGAGGATGGAGGGTTCAAACCCAACCCCGCCCAAACTGCAACAACAACAAAAAATAGCCAGGCATTGTGGTGGGCACCTGTAGTCCCAGCTACGCAGGAGGCTGAGGCAAGAGAATCACCCAAGCCCAAGAACTAGAGGTGGTTATGAGCTGTGATGCCACAGCACTCTACGAGGGCGGCAAAATGAGACTCTGTCTCTTAAACAAAAAAGAAAGAAAGAAAACGCTTGTTTTAAAGTATTCTTGTGGGCTGGGTGCGGTGGCTCACACCTGTAATCCACACACTCTGGGAGGCCAAGGTGGGAGGACTGAGCTCACAAGTTTGGACCAGCCTGAACAAAAGCGAGACCTCCCTCATCTCTACTAAAAATAGAAAAACTGAGGCAAGAGGATCACTTGAGCCCTAGTCGGAGGTTGCTGTGAGCTATGATGCCACAGCGCTCTAGCCAGCGCAACAGCTTGAGACCCTATCTCAAAAAATAAATAAATAGGCTCGGCGCCTGTGGCTCAAGCGGCTAAGGCGCCAGCCACATACACCTAAGGCGGCCGGGTCCAATCCAGCCCGGACCCGCCAAACAACAATAATGGCTGCAACAAAAAAATAGCCAGGCGTTGTGGCAGGCACCTGTGGTCCCAGCTACTTGGGAGGCTGAGGCAGTAGACTCGCTTGAGCCCAGGAGTTGGAGGTTGCTGTGAGCAGTGAAGCCATAGCACTCTACCCAGGGGCTCAGCTTGAGGCTCTGTCTCAAAAAATAAAATAAATAAATAAATAAATGAAGTATTCTTGTGGGCCTAGCACTTTAGGAGGCCAAGGTAGGAGGATCACTTGAGGTTAGGAGTCTAAGACCAGCCTAAGCAACATAGTGAGACTCCATGTCTACAAAAAACAGAAAAATTAGCTGGGCATGGTGGTGTCTGCCTGCAGTCCCAACCACGTGGGAAGCTGAGGTAGGAGGATCAATTCAGCCCAGGAGTTTTAGGTTACAGTGAGCTATGATCATGCTTCTGCCCTTATGCCCAGGCAACAAAGTAAGACCTTGTCTCCAAAAAAGTTTTAAAATTAAAAAAACAAAGTATTCTTGCCAGCATTGAGAATTTTTCAATTTTGCTAATTTGATAGCCTCCACTTCCTAACATGAAGTTTACTTTCCTTGTATTGCTGATAAGATTAAACACTTAACCATACCTGGCTGCTTATATTGTTTCTACCATGATTTCCTTGTTCTTATCTTCTAACAATTTTTCTTTATAGTCCTTATTGACTCATTTGTTCTACTTGTATTAAGGATTTTAACTCTGACATGCAAATATTTTCACTAACTTTAGGCTTACAAAGTTATCCCCTACTCCACATCAATTACTATATTCACTGATTTTCCCTGTTGATTTTTAAATATTTAACTCTAACTCTACTGGAACAAAGATACTTCGATTTCTTTCCAAACAGTGAGCTAGAATCCTGTACCAGACAGGCCAAGTCTCAACACCTGCCAACACGGATTCCCCTGCTAAGGAAAGAGCTGTAGCCGTCTGTCCTCCTGCCACCCTGACCTCAGATGAATGGACCACAGGGGTAAGACTCTGGGTACCAAAAGAGCTCTAGGAATAGGCAGGTAGAGGAAGACGTTAGGGCTGATGTAGTCATCAGAGAGGATCACAGAGAAGTGAAACTTCAGGCACAGGGAAAGCAGCAAGAAAATTAATACGGAGGAAAGAAAGGATAAGCTTTGGTCTGGAATGTGTCTTATTGTCGGAGACCAACACCTATCACATATTTACCAGGAACCAGGCACTGTATCAGGGTAAGATGACATAAAAATAAAGGAGCAAACAATCGAGATAAGAGAGGACACACATATAATGGGGATTTGAATTGAAAAGCAAACTGAAGCCAACTGTGGAGAGAGTTGCTGAATAAAACACAATGAGCTTGCACTTCCTGGAGACCACAGCCAGCAGATAACGACATAAGTGAAACAAGATTACAGCCAGGATTATATCACAAGGTTGATGTAATGAACCTTCACTCAAAAGCTAAACAGTGTTCTCAAATGTGTGAGAGCCATTGTAAGAAAGAGCTTCTACATCATGATCCATGAACACACACACATGTATGTACCAGAAACAAAAATCTGATGAAATGGTATTTGAGAGGAGGTGGAGACTGGCAGTAGGGAACCCAGCTAGGAGGATACTGTAAAAGTCTTGGTGTGAAGTGACACACGAGGTCAAGACAAGGAGCACTTGAGAGAGAGTGGACTGGCAGAGGGTGAAGGAGGAACAGGAGAGCAACACCAACGCCCTCAGAGGAGGCCGCATGGCGGACAGGAGAGAACAGATCAAAGACGACACTGAAATGTCTATTCTCTCTGGAGTAGAAAAGGATGAGGACACCGGCAGAAAAGAGTAAGAGGGAGCAAGGCAGAGAGGATGGCACAGACAGCAGCTGGAAAAAGGCACGTGAGAACCCACTCAAAACCCTTTGCGTCTTCGGCATTTTGAACCATGTGAATGCATCACCATCACCCATTCAAGAAAATACAATTTGTGGCTTGGCACCTGTCGCTCAGAGGCTAGGGCGCCAGCCACATACACTGGAGCTGACAGGTTCGAACCAGCCCAGGACTACCAAACAACAATAACAACTACAACAACAGAAAAAAAAAAAAATAGCCAGGCGTTGTGGCCTGTAGTCCCGGCTACTTGGGAAGCTGAGGCAAAAGAATCGCATAAGCCCAAGAGTTTGAGGTTGCTGTGAGCTGTGATACCACAGCACTCTACCAAGAATGACATATTGAGACTCTGTCTCAAAAAAAAAAAAAAGAAAAGAAAAAGAAAATACAATTTTGGCT